GTAGGCCTCCTGTCGATCATACTCCACATTGCTACCAACTGACGAAGCCGTTCACGAGTGAACGGCTTAGTGCCTAAGTCTGCTCTTTGAAATTCTCCCGAAACGTGTTTTATGGCCAGCTCTTGGTTCTTTGCCATCTCTCGCACCCAGTTGCTGCGTAGGCGCAAGTGCCGGGTACGCCAGCTCCCTGACGATGTAGTGAGCAAGGCCACTGCGGCCAGGTTATCCGCCCAGACCACGAGTGGCAGTTCTCTGCCCAAAAGCTCGGTCAGCAGTCCCCTGGTTGAGAGCCCAAGTAAAGTACCCTCCACTGTTTCCAGAAGTTCTGATTCTGCTGTCGACAACGTGACTAGCTGTTGTCTACCGGCCCGCCATACTATTGGAGACCGTCCGTAAAAGACTGCCGCCGCACCTTGTGACCTCCCTCCGCTTGGAGCGAAGGAGGAGTCAGTGTAGATGTCGAGCTGCGTAGCAATCTCCTCGGAGTCCTGGGTGAAGGCCAAGCGGTAGTGCTTGGTTTCATTCAAATAGTCAAGAAGCCGGCTCCCCACCTTGTTCACCATTCCTGGACATCGGGTGATCCTTGCCGCCATAATCGAAACTGTATGCTGTAGATCCGGCCGGGTACGGCCCATGAGCCACAGTAACTCTCCCACTCTGCGCTGAGCTTCTTTAACTTGAGGGTCCTTGGGATTGACATTGGACGGCTGGGCATCGATTAAGGCTCGCTCCTCCTCATCGCTCAAAATGAGCGTTTCCCGGGGTCCTTGGCTTTGGGAACGTCCGCCTTGATGGCCATGGGACCTCAGGATCTCATTGATAAAGCCTTCCTGGGCCAGCTCTACTCCTCCTGGAACTCGGTGCATTTCCATGCCCAGGAACCGTATGGGGTGGTCATAGTCCAGAACATCCAAGGCATCGACCTCCCACTTGGCAGAAACCCAGTCAAAGAAACTTCTCATAGCCCCTTCCTCTGCATGGATGAGCAGGTCATCTATGTAGACGACGACATAGCCGAAGACTTTGTCATCGCCCCCATCAACCACAATCTTCCACACCTGATTATCCGACACCATCTGCTGAAGCCTCGTTGTTGTTGGAACGCCTTCCACATCCATATTCCACCTGGCCAGCTTAAGCTGTTCGTCACGAAATCGAGACCATAGGGCAGGTGATTCTCTCAGGCCATAGATAGCCTGCTCCACAAACCAAACCTGTCCTTGTGAAGCCAAACCCAGTTCGTAGGCTATAGCTGGCGGTTCCAACGCGACTGGCTGTCCCAACCACTTGGCCAAGACAAAGGCTTGTCGTACATCTGTAGTTCCAATCTTCCATGGTTTCCGGGCATTTGCTGCCAGAAGCGTCCTCAAACTCGTTGCGTCCACACCCGCGGCAAAGAGGTCGAAGTTGCTGTCGTCCTCCGGTATATGATTTCCGCAGGCAACAAACCGGGTTTTCCGTCGAAACCCTTCTCCTTCTTTGTCCGGTTTAACTGTGTACACTCCCTTGCATGGAACGATCCTGCAGCCCGGTGGAAGTTCATCTCTCCTTTTCACAGAGAATGCCTTCTTGGAGTCCTTGAGGTTCTTGAACTCCTTGAGTGCCGAAGGCTTCCACGCCTCCAGGTTCTTTCTGACGTCGCCGAGGCTCACATTGTGGGTCACTTCAAGAAACTTCCCGCTCTCCTTGACATCATCCAGTAGGCTTTCAATGTTTTTGGTGTACTGCACTTCCGCTTTCTTCACCATTTTCCTAACTGTCGCCGCTACTCCATTATGGGCAACTTCAACATGATCAGGAAGGGGAGGAAGTTCTTCAGGAGTCTGTGGACGTAGGAAGCTGTAGTCCTCCTCCTCAGCACACCCTTCAACAGGCTTTTGCTCTTGCCTCATCATCTTGATGTGTGGGGAGGGGAAGGCCGACAGACCTTCATCCATGTAGTCCTCGTCATCAGGATTCTCCACTTCTTCGGTCAAGGCCTGGTGGTTCACGTTGAAACCCATATCTTCCACTGGTAAGTTGTCCGAAAGGCTTCGCGCGCAGCATGTCTGGGTGTCCATTGCCGGGAGAGGCAATTCTTCCTGCTTGGTAGCATCATCCCTTGTACAGCCTTGTACAAATGTCTCACACTCGCATCATGGGCTTCAGGCAAACCGTTACAGGCATCATGAGCATCATCCCTTGTACAGCCTTGTACAAATGTCTGGAAGACTTCCAGGAACTCAACGCTGTCCATGTGAAGCTTAGTGGCCCGAGGAGTGTAGAGGAGCAGGACCAGTCTTTCCCCAACCCACGGCTGGACTTCATGCCATTTTCGAGGTGAGAAATAAACTGGCCTGCCTTTCTCCATTTCAATGAGTCGGCCCTTTACTTTCTTCCCGCTGGGAAGTTCCTTTTCAACTCCATCGTGCTCATTCACGTCATCATCCTGGACCCATAATGCACCCTTCTCGAAGTCATGGAGGGGTAACACATAGTTTTTCGATGGACCGTAGTTGTGTAGGTCACGATGAAGTCCAAGCTGCGCATTCATGGCTAGCCCCAGGGCTGTGAACTCCACTTCACCACAGTAGTGCTTGGCCAGGCTCACGAGGAACTTAGTAGTGTGTGGAAACTCCTTCATGTTGGTTCTTGTCCCTGCAACACCTCCATGTACATAAGCACCTGTGTACCAAGATGCAATCGAGGTTTTCTTCCCCAATCTGCGATCAGTGTTGCCGAGCATTTCCAACAACTTGTAGAGCGACACCGCCTCATCCAGGCTGTAGTTCCTCTCCTCATTCAGCTTCCTGGCCTTGAACTCAATCTCATTCTTGAGGTCCTCCTTGGTTGGTGGTTCGCTGGACGAGAGTAGTTCCTCGGGGAGGCCTTCTGCAACAGCCGGGGAAAGAAGCCCTGGTAGGTCACGGTGGGTGTCAGTAACACCAAACTTCACGCTTTTAGCCACAGTAAGTCCACCATCCTCTCTGACGATCAGATGGCCACGCTTCACATCTTCAGCTGGTCCTCGATACCATCCTCTCTTCCAACGAGATCCCGCTGCGTCGTGCTTCTTTTCCCCTTTTCC